AGGAGTAAAGAGAGGAAGTAACGTTAATGCTGTAGGCGGTGGGGGGGGGGGGGGAGGGAGGGTGGAGGAGGGGCGATTAAACCGAGTCAATTCATCAGTTTGATAGCGAGTCCTGAGGAGATACATAGAGATTTTCTGCATGAACTTTTTCCACCTCGCCTCTATTCAACGTCCCAGAGCGTCCTCTGGCGAGAGTGCCCGCTGTGGTATCCACTACAAAACCAAAAGAAAAGTGAGGGAGAGAGAGAGAGAGAATACAGCAGGACGAATGTAATTGGTACGCCAATCAAAATGAAACAGCGTCACCAAGTTGGCTGAGATCATCACGGTGACAACTAGAAAGCTTAGTGCAAAAGGAGACACAGACACATGCCTGCTGAGGTTGACGAAGGCGTGTCAACGGCAAAATAGAAGCATGCACAATACTATAACCCCAGGGGATAGGCGGCACATCCTCGGATTACATCATGAAACAGGAAACAACTGGGACGCTTCCAATGGTTCTTGATTCACACACGTATCGTGCATAAAATAACCTTGCCAATAAAAAGAGGTTCCATAAAAACAAGCTTACTCAGAGCCCATTTATCGCCAAGTCTGCCAAGCCCAACAACCACAACCCAATTGCTCAATTCCCAATTTTACTACTACTACTACCACTCGCTACAAGTCTATTCCAACTACCATCGGCCAAATATTAAAACAAACACCTCCTATAGTGCAATTCCCACTTCTCATTGGGGGGGAGGGGGGGGGGATAGACTACTTACACACAGTGTTAATTTCTTGAGAGGAAACAACCCAACGACTACAACGACGTCGACATGAGCAGCTGCATGAGGAAGTGGTGCCCACAGGAGGGGGAAGAGCAATTCCCGCCGCAGTTTCCTCTTCCTGAGGCCCCCTACTGCTGTTCAAACCCCGCTGCAACGAAGTCAACGATGGGGAGGGGGAGGCGGAGGAGGAGGAGGAGGAAGGATTTTGACGACAAAGGAGTTCCAGTGCTTCATTCAGACTGGTCAGGATGAGTGTGAAAGACCTACTCGACTGAAATGGAGACAATTAGAGATGGAGAGTTACCAATCATGCATCAAGGAAAGAAGAGGAGTTCACTTAAAAAGATCAAAATCTTACAGAATATCGAGTGTTCAAGTTACGAAGAGCCTCAACACTCCTTCGAACTAATTTGCGAGCTCTTGAGTGATCCCCACGGCCGCAGTCTCCTACAAGAGAGCGTGAAAACAGTTTAAATCGCGTTGGCAACGACTTGGTCATTGTGTGAGGGATTTCACTTGCCAGTGTTGACTGCAATCGACTGAACAGTGATGAGTAGAGTTTGGAGCTCAAGTGTCATGGCAGACCAGAACGTCGAAAGTTTATTAACGAGATGGTTAAGACGGTGTGGGAGAAATGAATTCGCCTAAAAATAAAGTACCATAGACGGTCAGCCTCACGACGCCTCTCTTACATTTCCAATTGGGAACATTTCACGAATGTCCGCGTATAATGACACCGTGAAGGGAGGCAAAGCTTATAGCCCACCCAATCGCTGAGATTTCGTAAATATTTATTAAATCAACTGCGAAAGCTTGCTAATAGACATGACAGAGTTTCAGTGATATCGAACTTCCGGAAATGGGTTCCTTCGAAGACGCAGTTGAGAGAAGAGGATAAAAGCGAAAAAACAAACGATCACGTTTGATGATTTAAGCCTCCCCCCCCCCCCCCCCATTTCCACTTCTTACTTGGCTCTCTCGCGGCTTCACTACCGACTTGCTCTCTCAATTCCAGACTGTTAAGTCACCTTTTCTCAAACTTGGCACTCAAGAAAGCAGGCAACCAGAAGACCCACCCCACCCCCTCCCCTCCCTCCACCCCTCTAAAATCTCTCATATCGACCGAAACGCATCGGGTGTGTGCCGATGGGAATCGACCTCAGGACTTCTGCTAACCAATGAGGTATCGGTGGTTAAAAAAACATTTTCAAATATTTTTACAGTGGATTGTATACGAACAAACTCTGGATGAAAATTCAGCTAGGAATCTGCTTGAATACCTTTGGATATCGCGATTCTTTGCTAAACTTTATCTATAAATATACGCACCAAAGGCTCGCACATAAAAAATTTTCGGAAACTGTCTAAATTTAGTTTGTTAATTAAAGGCGGCAGACTCACATTCACATTTTGAGCATGGGATGGCAGTAAATCACCAAATGAGACAGTCAGAGATGAAGGAGTGTCAGTAGATAAACTCGAAATCTGAGCAGCAAGAGAAGCGCTTGTAGTATCATCAGGCTGTTGGCCGCCTTCAGCAGTCATTGGATCCAGACAACCGGAAATTTCTCGCACTGTTGCGCCAATGTCTGCCATCAGCGAATTCACGCCGTTAAGGCTACAGAGGGAAAGCAGTTATTTCAATAGGCTAATATGCCTCCCAGAGCATAGAGGGTAGACAACATAAAGATGAAGCAAGCAATAGAGTAACAGAAGGGAAAAGGCGATCGGAAACCTACTGCTCCGGAAGGAGATGGCTGTTCAAAATGCCTCCGTCGACTAGATCCATAGTCGCGTCGGTGTTGAAGAAGTTGGAATTCCGGAAATTGGCACCGCGAGCATTCTCAGTGGGTGAAATTTCATCTGGCTTCTCCGTCAAAGTGGAAGTTGGAGGACTTGAGAAAGAAGAACACATAAGGTACCCTGCTAAACACACACCCCAGGGTCAAAAGTTCATCCACTTACTCAGTAGCAGACAAGCGAACCAGATTTTCAAGTTTCTTGATTACTTCATTCTTAACTAGAATCTGCTCACGCAATCTCTCCAATTCGTTGGCCAATTCCTTGACACGTTTTTCGTGATCGGACACAATCATCTTCAACCGCGTGTTCTCTTTGGTGAAATCATGCAGAAGAGCAGCACTCCTATCAGCCTTATTCTTAAAAGTGAATGCGAGAGATTTGAGTTCGGGATATTTTCGAGCTTTCTGCCGAATCCCTTCCAAGTCCTCCTTCTCGTTGCCTAGAGGACCCTCCTCGAGGTAGGCTCCAAGATTGATTTGGGCATCTGCAGAGACCATACGAGCCATGGTGAGATCGGTTTGGAGCATCAACTTCTCCTCTTTGCTAATCTGAAGGTCTTCGCAGAGGTTATCGCGTTCTGTTTGGAGGCGCTCACACTGCTCGGCCATTTCCGTGTACCTACTCTTGGCGACTTCAAGGAGGGACTCGTACTTGACATGGGTGCTCTTCATCTTCGCATTGTGCTCCTGTAAAAGAGCACCAAAAAGGAGAAGGAGGAAAGGCGATTATAACGATTTGGTGGTTTAGCTGCGTGACAGACATCCCATCTAGAAGTTTTCGTGCCTCATACTGCTGCCTTCAAAGGACACTAGGTTACTGCCCCACCAAGAAATTCCAAGCTCCAGTGAGAAAAAGTTCTGCCAATCAGTATTAAGGACAAGACAGTGTTAGCTCCTCCCCAATGCATGCCCGTCAAGAAAAACGCTATCAACACTTGACTCGAGATGTTAGAAAGTATTCATGAGTCGAGTTTACAAAAATTTCATATTCTACTACTCCTCCTCCTCCTGTTGAAAGTAATTTACCGAAGCAGTCAGTGGATAAGACCATTGACGCTGAAAGGGACCAAATAGACAATACACGAGGCTATCTAACTGGAACCTCAATCCCGTTGTTGAAAGACCGATTTGAATAACAGGAACCGGCAACTCTACCACCTTCTCTGACCAACAACTCTACCCAATCGTTTGATTTAACCGGATAATCAAAATAACGAGTAGACTTCAACTGCAAAAAAGACAACGCACCTCCAGCTTCTCCTGCAATTGTGTTTCCAAAGCTGACTTCTGCATATTGAGGTTGTTAACTTCATCAAAGGCTTGACGCAACTGTTGTGAAAAATCGGTCTGTCGCTCGATACTTTCTGTCAACAAGTCCTACAGAAACACACACACACATCGAATGAAAGAGACAAAAAAAGAGACGAATACCTCTAGACGCTCAGACTTGGCTTTCCATTCTTCCATATCCTTGTTGGCTTTGTTAAGCTGACTCTCCAAATCATCGTAGATTGCGCGCAACTCATTTGCAGCCACCTAGCAAAAGGGTGATTGAAAGGGCACAAATTGAGAAAAAAAAATGAAGAGACCTAGAAGAGGCCTAGAATTTACTTTCAATTCAGCAACTCTTGCCTGCTTTTGAGCCAATTTTGTCTCTGTTTCTGCCAGTTGTTCCTTCAAGCCGGCCAGTGTCGACTCGTTATCCTTGGCAATCGCCTAAAAGGTGAGTTAAAAGAAGGCCTAGTCAAAGGAGTCTAATCGCAATATAATTACTATCGATCTAAGATGATTTATCGTCAAACACCTCTATGGAAAGAGCTAAACGAAAATGGCAATATCCTATGGAGATTCAGAAAGGGTGTAAGAAGACTCACTTCCATCTCCTCCACTTTAGCATCCTTCACTCGAGCGGCCAAAAGAGCATCAGCTAGTTGTGCATCCATCCCTTGGAGCCTCGTCTTCAATTCATTCACCTCAGTCTAAAAACGAAAGAAATGTTGGTGCATTGCATTACCAAAGTGCATTTGAGAGAAGCGGATTCCAGGCTTCCTCAGTTGAGTATCACGGGGCTTCTAGTATTCTTTGTTGGTGGAAATCAAGCCGGTGAACTCTAACTTGGTAGATGGCCACGGAAGTCAGTGGGGTCAAACAGGAGTAGTTCAGGTTTTATTCGACACAAAAGTGAGCATTCTGGTCTCAAGAAACACAGTTTGTCCAAATCATCTCGAAATGAGTTGAGGCAGTAAAAAGCGACAGGTCATGAATACGCTGTTGTCCTTTTAAACTAATCAGCCATCCACATTTCGCTCAGTTTCCAAATTTATCATTTACAGACGCATAACCGCACTTTCCCACTTCGAACTGTGTTGCCTCTCAATCACCCATTCAAGATTGCAAAATTTTAACCGGAATAGAGATATTTTGCCCTTAAACGTGAGAGTCTAAACTCATAACTGCTAATTTTTCTAAGCTACGTGATTGCATACCATTTATTACTTGCTCGCCAGACGAACAAAGTACGCGAAACAACCCACAACTCCACATAGCGAACCTCAAATCGGCCTCATATCACAACTACTCCGACTACTACTCTTACGCTGCGCTGAAACCTTTCCCTCACCATGCAAAACTTTAATTCTTGTCGCCACTCAACCACCGGCGTGGTGATTTGGGCAAAGTCAGTATTTCCTGGAAATTCTGCTGAAATGATTGTAGAGAGAGTTTGCGAAAGGGAATGCACCTCTAAATCCAACTCGCTCAGACTCCTAGAGCAACTTCATCAATTCGAAAAGTCCCCACGTTAAAAAACACTATTGTTATAAAAGCACGATTTGTCAGTGGGGTGAAGTTTTTGGACAGGTGATTCCATGCTACTTTGGTCCGATCTAATAAGCGACCACCGCTAACCTAAACACGTGGATTTCGAAGGAGGCAATGACCGAGAATAGCAGTTTAGAAGGTGAACCAAATTCGAAACAAAAAGGAAATAATACATTTGAGAACTTCAGCAAAGTATCTTACCTCCAGCTCTTCTACCCTCATCTCCTTGGTTCGGGCTTTCAAAGTAGCCTCCCTCAACTCAGCCTCCAATTCCCGCAGTTTGGTCTCCATTTGGGGTATTTCAGCCTACATTTGGACAGAGAAAGGATCGAGACGTTGAGAGGATCTTAAAGTCAGTTCATCCCCCCCCCCTCCCCCCAATCCCTTAACAAAAGCCTCCTGTTAACAAGCGGAATAATCTTCTGATTCACGGAATTCATAACTCTGTGGTATCCAGGGCAAACTCCAACTGAGAAATAGTCAGCAGCCAAGAATGATTATCAACAAAGTCGTGAAGCACGCCTCCTATGTCTAACGAGTAGTAGTTGGCAAAATACTAGCATGTGTTCTAGTAATATCAGCAAGTTCAATCCTCTAAAGGAGAATTCTTACCTCTAGCACCTCTAATTTGGATCCTTTTGCTTGGGTATCCGAGAGGGCTTCATTCAACTGCCTTTCCAAGTCTTGAGCTTTCAATTCCACGTTAGCTACTTCCACCTAGAACGAATGCAGGCGAGAATTCACTCTGGCAAATCGAACAGCGCAAACAAGACTGGCTCAAATGGAAGAAATTCTAAGAAAGTCAGATTGCTGAATACTTGCACTCCAGCACAAAAGCCTCTCAAAGAAATTTCACCAGATAAGCAGGAATTGAAATGCCAATAAAAAGTTTTACCTCCAGCTCCTCAATTTTGGACTCCTTTGTACGAGCGATGGAGAATGTTTCGGTCAGTTTTGCTTCCAAATCCTGCACTTTTGACTTCAAATCAGCCACTGCGATCTGGAGGAAAGGAGGGGGTAAAAAAGGAAAAGTAAACTTTCGGTTAAACATACTACTTAACAGAGGTCAGTAGCAACGACCAACCTCCTTATCAGTGAGCTCTCTGACATTCAGTGAGAGGTCGGCTTTGAGTTTCTCGATAGTTGAAGTGAGCTGCTGCTCACAACGCGACGATACATTATCACCATTTTCGCATAGGGAGACAGATGGAGGCTCCGTAATGTCCGACACTTGCAATGTCGCATTCTGCTAGAGAGGTAACTCATTAAATTACACACGAAAAAACCGACTTAAAGTAAACAAGTGTTTGGAGTAAAAGAAACTGGTATTCAAAGACTTATTTCACTAAGCGATGCTAATCATTGTGGTTGGAAACAAGTCCCCCCCCCCTCCATTGATCAACGGGTACTGATCTCATGACTTCAAATGTTTCCAACTATTTTTTCTAGCCAACATCTACATTACAAGAAATGGACTTTCTCGTTTGTATGGCAAAGTATAAAGTGACACCGAGATTGGAGATCTGAGAGGAGGATCAAAAAATGGCATTCAACTGATTCCATTCCACAAGGAAGAGAGCAGCAAATGCCAGTGCTTCACTTAATGGGCTCCAGAAAAGTCTTGTGATTTGAGCATTCTCCTCCTCCCTACCTGACGGGACAATGTAACGGGGTGTTGTGTGACAGTTGCTGTCAGCGCGAACTCCTCATTGAACTGCAGTTCGAGAGCACCCAGCCGAGAAACACTACAACACAACAGTTAAAAAGAATAAAGCAATTAATTAATCAATCAACACTGATCTGCTCAAATTTGAAAAGCACAGAGGAAGAGCAATTTAAACGCACACTTCAGGTAGATCAGCTGAACCTCTGCGACCTTGAAGAGTGTCAATGAAGATTTCAAACCACCGGTAAACTAGATCACACCAGTCCGAGAATAACGCAGCGGATTCCGCCGCCACTTCCAAGCTCTTGGTCTTGGAAAGGACCTCCACGAAGCGGATAACGAGGTTCAATAAAGTATCAAAATTAGAGTCAACATTTTTCGTGACGTTATGAGACGAAGAAGCAGGAGGTTGATGGATGCCACCGGTGTTCACATTGATGGCAGCCAGCAATTCCGTGGCTGCATCGAGAGACCATGTATCCAAGGCTTCTTGAATCCCCGCAACCTACAGACAGTAAAGATAGGAAGATTATTCAAAAAGGAGTATTTTAATCTACGAACCTACGGTTTGATGCACTCTCACACAAGTAATATGTCCATGCAAGACAAATGACCAGTGATCCCAATTCCTGCTTCTACAAGCCCAAATTCCAACTGAAAAGCAAAGCTGCCAATTGTTCGCGGGATCGAAAACCCCCTCCTCAGATTTGTCGATCAAAAGGGATCCTCAATACTCAATTTCCGCATGCCAGAAAGCGGAATTAAGTAAACGGGTTTCTTCAAAAAGGATGTCTCGAAAGTGATCTTCGTGTTTAAAGAAGCAACCATCCTAACCCCCCCCCCCCCCCCAAACAACTTCCTCTCGCTTTGGTACTTAAAATCAGGCGCTGACGATTAAAAAGCGGGGCAACTTTATGACTGTTAATTTGCACTCAGGCGGATGCTCCAAATGCACTCACACCTTCAAGTAATAAAGGTGAGGGCAGTAAAATGGGCAAAATGAGCTGTTAAAAACAGGAGATTAGGAAACTACGCGCGCACACACACACACAAAGCCAAAAGTGTGAAAAAAATGACAGGCGCAACTAGAAAGCAAGTTATTAATCAACCAACTTCCAATGGAAGTTCCACAGAGCAAGGTTGATAAAAGCAAAACTTCGGTGGTAATAACATTGCCCCCTTTTACATATGCCATCTAACAATAAAATCCAACCACTTAACTAAGCGACCTATAAATTTACCGCATTACTTATATGGACATTTGAGTAGATCGCTTACGGCATGAGCAACGCGATCAAAGATGTCCCGAGAGTGTATCTCAAGGCGAGTGATGTCAAGAGCATGACTTCGCTGGCTTGCTGTGAATGATAGGGAGTTTGCCATCGAGAGATCCTCCATAGTGTTGTCGTTGCAATGCTCACGAAGAAGATGGAAGGTTGTGTTGTTGTGACTCATTTGGCTCACTGACAACAACAACTCATCATTCTCGTACTTCTCTGCGACTGATTTCACAGCTGGTTCAATGCGCTCATATTCATTAGCTTCAGGAAGGTCATAAAAAGAGTAAATTGGAATCACATATTGGCCAAATTTATAATTGAATGAATTCAACTTACTAGAAGTTTCTGATGGAGAAGGGCCACCATTCTCTCCTCCTGCAGATTCTACAAAAGACGTCGGTTGAGATGTCTGGACATCGGTTCCAGGAACAGCGTATCTGGAACTTGTATCTAAACAAACAGAGGTCGCTAGGACGCTGCGATTCACCGTCTCGTGGAATGAGCTACGGAAGGTTCGCAAATTGTCAAATTGGTCAACAAGTCCCTTGATCAGAGAGTAGACGTCACGAAGACGATCCGGGTTCAGCCCTGTAGCTAAGATGTTGTCATGTACTCCTACCCCAACATCTTCGTGCTTACGCTCTTCTCCTGCCTTGGAGACCTAACGGGATAACACGAAAAGACAACAAACAGATGCTTACCTCAAGTATACTGGCAGAGAGCTCAGCTTCCACCTTACTAAGGGCAGATTTGAGTTCATTCACTGTTCTGTCCAGAGTCTGGGACACCTTCTTGTTGGAATTAAGAAGACTAGCGAAGGATTCATTAACTTGAGATGTGTTCCCTGCCTCCTCTATTAAAAACGAAAAGAATTTAAATGGGGGAGAAATGAATCAGCTCTTACCAAGAATGGAGGGGTTGAGGGAAATTGATAGGTTGGAGGGAGGATTGGTGGTGACGACCTTTTGAGGGGGACGATTGCTCTCGGAGAGGGCATTGTAAGCAGCCTTGAGACGAGTGTTGGCTTTGATTTGTGTGACCAGCTTACTTCTCAAAAGAGCCACCTCGTGTTGGAGTTTCAGCTCGACAGATATTGCTTCTAGTTGTGTATTCCCTTCCTTTTGCAAAGCAGAAACGGCGGAGGCATCAACGGTGGAATTGAAAATGCTGGAATCTGGTTCATGATGATACTGGGTAACTTCTCCAGTTGGATCGGTATCCTCAGCGTGAGGAACATTGGTCTCAGTCTGCGTATCTGGAGTGTATAGTTCGAGTAAAGCTCTCTCCCGATCAATCAACAACTAGACAACAAGAATAAAAGACTATCCATTAGTGGGAAAGTCGCGTTGGGGATAAATTTTAGTCTCATGAGCAAAATGGTAAAGTGCTGTCATAAAAGTTGGCCCAAAACCACCTTTGATTTTTCACTGAAGTGAAGGGGAGAGAGAGAGAGAGACGAATACACCTTATCCAGTGTTTAACTATTACCATGGTATGCAATTCCATATGGGCATCTCGTTAAATAAACGCACAATCGGTGTGGAAAACCTTAAGCGTTTTTAATCCATCACAGTCAGATATGCTCTTAAAGAGATTAGACCTCATTGAGAGAAAAAAAGTGAGTAAGCCTGAGATGCGAAGTGGATAAAAGAAGCAACTTTAATGGCCAAGGTGGAATTGGAAGCATGTAATGGGGAAATAGGAGTGAGGAGAAGGACAGTTAAAGCAAATACTTGGTGAATCTGGACACACTCGAGGTGGGAAAATTAGGAAAAGGTGGGAGATGAGTTGCATGAGGTAATTGAAGCGCTAACAGATGACTTTATAAATCACTACGGAGTGTGCAATAGACTTACCTCCTCGTGGTGCACCCTGGGCA